CGTCCGATTCGTGTACACAGTCCCGGGTACGTGGTTCTGACCTACGTTGCAATTTGTGTGTCTGAATTTTTGACACTGTTAACCTGTAGGATTGACTTACCAACTGGTTTTCTTTCTTGGTGTAGCTGGATGCCAATTTGCGGGAGAAGATTTCGCCCCAGGATGTTCGCTCGCCTGTCGTCCACCACAATGAAAGACGCTGTGTGGATTGTCCAGCCTCCCGATTCGATTGGGGCGGTTAGTCTGCCAAGGGATGGGAATTTATATCCATTGTAGCAGACCATTTTGTTAGCTTCGCGTCATCTTTCATTCTTGTTCTTACTGCTGAATTGACTGTTGTAGCCAGTAGGTTGGCTGCCTTTTCGTTTACGAACGATGTTGGTGATCCTGTGTCGGCAATAAAAACGATGTTATTTTTCTCCGAGCGCACCCTTATAAGATGTCCTTTGAGATCTGTGTCAAGTAGTTCTTCTGCCCGTCTTGGTTCAAAGTTTATCCAGTTTGTGGATGTATCATCCGGATGGATTAATTCCCATCCCGGAATAACGTCACCCGCTTGTAGATAATTTACGTAGGCTGTCATATCGGTGTCTTGAAGGTCTTGTTGTTGTTGATTATCCTCCTGGATTGCGTTTACTTCGCTAGATTTGCACAGTCTTGCAAAATGACCCCTCTTGGTCTCCAGTTTGTGTTTGGCATTCTGTATCCTGTGATTGTTTTAATTCCAGCGTCTGGCGAATTGCATCGACTTTTTCATTTTCATTTCTATTGAAGGTAAAGCTTTCTTTCGAGGGTATGACCTGGTGTGTTACATCACTGAATGTTAGTTCTGGCGGTGGTGGTTTTGATATAAGTGCATTAAAAGATGCGTAATTGATGGGAGAAAAAGTAAGTTGAGTTTGAGCTGAGTTGTGGGATTTTCTTGTTAATCGACGAAACGGAGGTAGTGACATGCCTTGTTGCAGTTGTCTATTCATGGTTGGATTTGTTTTGAAATTTGGATGAACCGAAATTGATTTAAATGGAGAGCGACTTGATTTAAGCAATTGACTACGAACAGTGAATGCAGTTTGTGTTTGAACCGAATTTGAACTTGTGAAATTTTCGTTCCGGTCGAGCTTTTTGGTGCCTAGATAATTAATTGTTTTGACATTATTCGAGGCGAAGTTAATACTACTGCTATCTTGGAATTCTACGCATTTCACGAAATCATCGATCAATGCTTCTACGAAGTTTTCGTCCCAGTACGCCGGAGGTTGTGGTTTTCCGGGTGTCGTGAGATGTAGTCAATAAGACCCATTTTACTACCGGCCAGGTCGTGTATATCGAAATCAAATGGAATGAGTCGATCAATCCATCTGGTTAACCTACTTTGATAGGTTTTATTGCCCCTATTACTCTTTAAGGCACTAACTAGCGCTTGATGGTCTGTTATTAAGGTAAAACGTCTACCGTATAGGTAATACTTAAAGTGCTCAATGGCCCACACTGCGGCCAAAAGTTCGAGTTCGTTTACCGAGTATTTCTGTTCGCATGAATTCAGAGACCTTGATGCATATGCAATGGTTGCCCAACCATCCGGTGTATTTTGTTCAAGGGCCGCGCCTATTCCTTCTCGGCTGGCGTCACAAACAATACGAGTGTCTCTGTCACTTACGAAGTGTCTGTTTTCTGTAATATTCTTTACGGCATTTAGGATATTTTTGAATGCTTTCCCGTTTTCTTCACTCCAATGGAAATTAAATTTGTTTGCTGTAGACAATAGTGGTCTTAGGGGATTGCATAATTGAGCTAAATTGGGAATGAACTTGTTTAAATGATGGACAGAACCCATGAAACTCTTCAATTGTTTGAATGTTTTTAGATATGGTAGATTTATTATTGCGTCCGTCTTCTTTTGCATAGGTATGGTGCCGTGTTCGTTTATGATAAATCCCAACCATTCTACTTCCCTACAACCAATTTTACACTTATCGATTGAAATAGCCATGTTTTCCGTATTTAGTTTGTTCAAAACTTTGGTCAGTTTTTCAATATGTTGCTCTTTTGTGCCATGCGATATTATTAAAATATCATCTAGGAATGCGAATGTGTCTTTTTCATTGTTAAGGGTTAGGTCGATGGCTTTCTGAAATTCTGCGGGCATATCTGTTAGCCCGTAGAAGCCAGTTTGGAACTGATATGTTCCCGTTGCCTTTCCCCCAATTATGCTGAAGTTACACTGCGTACGGGTTGTTTCGTCTAAAGGCAGTTGACTGTACGCATAGCGTAGATCTATTGTTGAGAAATAAGTCGTTCCTGGCTTATTTGTACCCTCCTGTGCCGATTGTGCTATATTGTCTAACAGGACGTCAATATTTGGCATCTGGTACTTATTTTTGTGGATCGAATTATTTATTTGTTTTGAGTCCATGGCTAATTTAATTGATCCATCTTTCTTAACAGTGATCACAATAGGGCTTATGAATTGGTTGTCATTACATTTTTCGAGTCGAGTGATGTGGCCTTGGTCGATTAATGATCTAATTTCATGTTCCACCTTCTCCTGTATATGAATGGGAATTCGGCGCCCCCGTTGTTGTAAGGCCTTGAATTCAGATAAGAATTGTGTATGGACCATATGGTTTTTTGAACGTCCGATTCGTGTACACAGTCCCGGGTACGTGGTTCTGACCTACGTTGCAATTTGTGTGTCCGAATTTTTGACACTGTTAACCTGTAGGATTGACTTACCAACTGGTTTTCTTTCTTGGTGTAGCTGGATGCCAATTTGCGGGAGAAGATTTCGCCCCAGGATGTTCGCTCGCCTGTCGTCCACCACAATGAAAGACGCTGTGTGGATTGTCCAGCCTCCCGATTCGATTGGGGCGGTTAGTCTGCCAAGGGATGGGAATTTATATCCATTGGAGCAGACCATTTTGTTAGCTTCGTTGTCATCTTTCATTCTTGTTCTTACTGCTGACTTGACTGTTGTAGCCAGTAGGTTGGCTGCCTTTTCGTTTACGAACGATGTTGGTGATCCTGTGTCGGCAATAAAAACGATGTTATTTTTCTCCGAGCGCACCCTAATAAAATGTCCTTTGAGATCTGTGTCAAGTAGTTCTTCTGCCCGTCTTGGTTCAAAGTTTATCCAGTTTGTGGATGTATCATCCGGATGGATTAATTCCCATCCCGGAATAACGTCACCCGCTTGTAGATAATTTACGTAGGCTGTCATATCGGTGTCTTGAAGGTCTTGTTGTTGTTGATTATCCTCCTGGATTGCGTTTACTTCGGTAGATTTGCACAGTCTTGCAAAATGACCCCTCTTGGTGCACTTGTTACAAATTTTGTCACGCGCCGGACATTGTGCTAAATGATTTGCTGAAAATGCATTGCCGCATTTGAAACAATCTTTCTTTTGTCCAGCTTTTTCTGGATAGTTCCTTGATGTTTGTCCTCCTCTACCGCGTCCACCACGCTGTTGAGATCTATATCCACCCCGCTTTTGGACGAAGTTTACCGGTTCTGATTTTATATTTGGCAATCCGGTATGACTATTTGAAGTTCCCTGTTTTCTAATATGGACTTGGTTCTCTAGGCCTTTCTCGCGTTTTACCGCGTAGTCCAATGCTTGTGCGGGCGTTTTTGTTTCGGCGAGAAGGTCTTTTTGAACTTCGTCGTATGACATGTTTGCCGTAAATAGATCTCTGACTATTTCGGACTCGAGGCCTCCATCGTTGCATGCCGTGCATTTAAAATTTCCTTTTACCACAAGTTCCGTAAGTCCGCAGTGGAATTCTTCCAGGGATTCCGTTTTCCCCTGTTTGGGGGTAAAAGCCTCGTACCGATCGAATGTTACGTTGCGTTCCTTAACAAACAGTCGTGTAAGGAGTGTCCAAAACTCTCTGGTGGAGGTATCTTGAATTTTGATGTTTGGATAATACTGTGTTAGTCGTCTTTGGCCCTCCGTCCCCAAACACAAGTATATGTAACTTCTGCATTTGATATCGGCTTCCTCCCATGGTATACCGTCGACGGTGGGACCAAGATTATCCAGATGTTGACATTGGTTCTCCATGCTACCCGTTTTTCTTGGTTTCGTAGGTTTCGATCGCGTATTTGTTTGTCTGTTTCCCCTTCTATATTGAGCTCGTAGCCTGGTTCTTGGGGTTTCCGAATAGTTGGCGGGTTATGTAGAAGCTTGTTCAAATTCACACCGTCTTTTGCGATGATGCCAAGAAACAGCTGCTGGTTCCATTTGTCCCACTCTACCGGTGGTTCCGCGGACGCTTTCTGCCAAAATGATGTAATCCCCAATGGATTCTTTGTGAGTGCTGGCTGCGCCATGTTATACCCTCAGCCGTTAGGTGAGGTAAAAGTTAGTTGATCAAAGTCTATGCTGAGCGCTGACTGAGAAATAAGAAATAGAAAGAGTAAGATAACAACTTAAATTCATCTGTCTATGTTTAAGTCTGGCAGACGCTGACCTCGAATCATTTGAGATACAGCGTTTCATAATAACTAGTACATATGTTGTTAGGTATAGATAGGTACTTATTTAATCCTCAGACTTCTATATGTATTATGTAATCAGTTAGGTTTTATAGTATGTAAACATTACCAACTGGTAGTTTTAGCACCTAATTCTACATTGTTTATAAAAGGATGTTTTGCTATGATATCCGTATGGATAACAATTGGTTTGCTACAAGGAGCGAATTAGATTCTTTGTACTGTATATGGCGTGTGGGGGGATGGTTATCATAAATAATTTTAGAAATTTTTTTATTCATTTTTTTTAAATTTCATTTAATTTTTTAATTTTATTACTGCTCCATAAACCTTAAAAGGCAGTCGGAACATTCAGGGCCTCGCCCTGATACGAGCAGTCTTGTTATGTTTGAAAGCAACTAGGTGAGTTTTTCCATGGATTTTAAGGTAAGTTGCTAATAGAAAAAATGCAAATTGACGAAATCTTGTTTCAAAATGTTCAATGCAAATAAAACTTCTGATATTAGGGCAATGAAGAAAAGGACGATGCAGAGAGAAACGATCTGAATTTCGACAACGCGTACTCTCTTCTAGCTGAGGCGATGAAAAAGATAGAGACAAGCTCGAACAAGACCCAGAGACGTTTGAGGAGTGCAACCAACAGTTCACACAAGTTCACTCAGTCGCACAGGGATATTAGCCGAATCGAAGAAGTTGAGGGAGAGATATCGGAAGAAAACTAAAGAACACACTCGGTGAAACATAAACAGTGCTTATAATCAAAGTATTATCTTGTGGTTTCCCTGTTTTATACTCTCAGTTTTTCATTAACCCCAGAGGGCGGAGACAGGGTTGGGAAAAGTCAATTGGGAGATAAAATGTCCATTAAATGAAGTTTATGTCAATTAATTGAACTGGTTTTTCCATGTTTCCATTTAATTGGGCCCAAGTTAATTGCAATTAATTGGTCAACAAATGACATTTCCTTGTTGCAATGTTAATTGCTATCAAAACCTGGGAAGAGAGTGGTGTTATCTGTATTTTAAGATCACACATTTCGAACATTTCGAGCTCTGCTGAAACTAAAGAATGACCAAAGTGAGCATAAATTTCTGGGCCGTGGCCAATTTTTTAGGAAGCAAATGGCACATTAAATCACAAAGGCACCTTTAAAAAACTTGGGTTGGTCGTCAGCCACAGTTGGCTGTCGTAAAATGATACCACTGAAAGTATCCTATGAACTCTGAAAAATAACTGGGCTTTCATGCTTGAGATCTTGCTCTCTAATTATTAAAACTGAGACGCCTGCCTCATTAATCTGACTTTCGAAAAATATGATCGAAAGTTTTTATGCCTTGGGTGGACAAATTTTGGCTTTAAAATTAACTCTTAAATTTAAAACTTGCAAAACTAATTCTGCGATCTGAAAAATATTGTTGTGCTGAGCTCGAAATTTAAAAAGTCTAGTGGCCATTTTTTTGTAAATGAAGGAGGTTAAAAATTTGCTAACTTGGCCAACTTGGAATAATTAACGCGCAAAATGTTGCGTTCCCAAAAAACAAGCAAACTGAATAGTTCAAAACTGAAGTGAGAGCAGAAAATTGGTCTACTTGATAAATAGCAGACGCTTATTACAACCGTAAACGTTTTACATAGCGTGTGGTATGATGGAGGAAAGCCAAAAGTTTTTTTTTTCAAATAACGTCCTTTTTTTTTTTTTTTTTTCAATTATTTCATCACTTTTTTGAGATTAATTTTTTTTGTTTAGTTGCCAGGGCAACCGGAGATTTCAAGTTTTTGCGCTAATATGCGAGCAGTCTTGTTTTGAATAGAAACTAGTTCATTGGCGCCTGCGCTTTAATTAGATAAAAACTTCTTTTTAAGAAGTAATTAAAAAGAAATTCTGTGGTTTCTTCTTTCAAACAGTTTAAAATTGAAGGGCGTATTTGGCGAGGGGGAAGGGGATGAATGTGGAGAAATTGTGAGATTGATGCGAACGATAAATAGAGAAGTTAAGCTGAGAAGTTACGAGAATGTGTTAGTTTTTGAACTTTAAAAATTCCACTTCTTAGTGCAGGTGGGCAGGGGAGCTCAAGAGGATGGAACCAGATATAACACGGGGGGCTTGATTTTGGTTACTCTGCACGTGGTTTACTCAGGTGTTAGAGGATGCGTAGAAAAATGCACGGGAGGCGTAATCTAGTATGGGTCTGATGAGGGCTTTGCAAGTTAAAAGTAGGGTTTCTTTGGCTTGGGCGCTGGTTGAACCTGTTAAGACTTTCAGGACTTTTATTATGCGCCTGGCCTTGTCAACGAAATATTTGCAGTTAGTTGCAAAAAATACCGGGAAAACGTTGAAATTTTTGGGATTTTTGTTCAGCGGAGAGGTGCATTGTTTAAAAATACTTTGATTGTTTCAATGAAGTCTGTATTGTAGGACAAAAAGAGGGTTTTTGATCGTTTAGAGGACGCAAATTTTAGTTTTCGAAATTAAAGAAGGGACAGTTTCATCGTAAATGAGCAACCATTTCAAATCAAGAAAACTGATCATTCAACTTTCATAATGTTTTTAAGCATCATGAATGTTTTTAGTGGTCATGAGTGCTTTTTTAATCATCATAGGGGCTTTTGGTCTAAGAAATAGAAAAGCTGCTGCTCGGTTACAACCATTAAGTTTTGCTCATACTAAAAATTTATTCAGATCAATTTTTAATCAAAGTGTTGTATTAAGCGAATGATTCTCCAAGTAATGGGGCATTCTTAATTTTTTCTTTTAAATCATTATTTGCTAGTTTATTGAGAAATCTCGAAAAAGATTGTCTGGAAACAAGCAAGATGGGATTGTTGTTTTGACTCTCGAATAAAGTGACGGAAAATTTACTATTTGTGCTTGGGATGGTTTTATATCTAAAAAAATTAGAATGATCAACTAGCCCTTTTTGACGAATTTTTTTTTTCTATCATCGGAAATGATTTTGTCTTAAACTTAAATCACCAGCAATCATTTTTTGTAATGTTGGGAGGGTTTTAAATTGTTAAAATGGCAAACTTGGAAAAATTAACCTGCGATATATTTCATGCTATTAACGCGTAGGTGAAGTCTTAATCTGTCTTGAAAATTGCTTCAAATTGGTGGGTAATATTTTTTTTCATGTGTCTCTTAATTGTTTTGAAGCAAACACGGCTTCACAGACCTTAAAAAGCAGTCGGAAAGATATGAGCAGTCTTTTTCAAGGGCGGATCTAGGATTTTCTCGAGGGGGCGGATTTTCAAAAAATTCTCAAAATTTTTTGTCAATTTTTTTAGGTAGACCAAATTGATGTTCCGAGCGTTCCCAGAATTTTATAACAACCTTATTTTGATTTTAAAATTTTGCACCGCAGTCAAATTGTTGAAAAAAAAAATCAAAAAGGCCGTTTTGGGCTTTTTTTGGAAAATTTTGACCATAAAATCTCAGCAAGAGCTCCCCTTCAAATTAAGTAGATTTGGCGCCAAAGACGCCTTTAGAAAATTTCAGGGTTTGTCAGATGAAAATGAATGTGGTAAAATAATAGCAAAAGGGGAACCTTTTCGTTGGTGGCGGGGAGTCGAAGCCTCCCCTAAATTTGCCCCTAGTCTTGTTGGTACTTCGCTTTTAGGTTAAAAACAGATCAAAATAGGCATGTTAACTAAGAGAAATGACCACAATTTAGCTCAGACGTGGTTAGAAAACTGATACAACTGGGCATTGAATTGATATCACGCAAATATCATATTTGAAACAAAAAAAGATGGTAATCTACCGTTTATACATGAAAAAAAGTGCATAAAAACACCTCAACTTAGCTCGAAGGTGGGTACTTAATAAAGGTCAACGAATTTCGAAATCACGCTCTATTACAATTTGAACTGCAGCTGAGAATAATGATGCCTATTTTTTAAATAAAACTAAGTGATGTGTATTTTTGTTGTCAAAAATTGAGTAATGAGTTAGAAAAATTCGGGTTACAAAAACCAAATGTGCTAAGATGGATAACGCTTATAAAACATAATTTCTTGCTGTCGATGAATTGGACCAACGATGGAAGTACAAAAATAAATGATTTGTTTGGTACTTGTAGTACTTCTACAAACTGAAATATATCAACAAATAAATGAAAATGGTCAGCAAAAAAAAAACATTTTTTTCTTCAAAAAGTTTCAGATTTTTGTTCAAATTTTGAAACAGGCATCCAATCTTTGCTGAAAAAAACATCGAGGAAGAAGTATACAAAAATAACTCAACAGAACAAATTTTAAATTTTCTTGAAAGTTTTCATTTGGAGAAAAACAGCAAGTGAATATGCTATTAAAATTTTTTATTCAAAAAGTCTTTTTTCGAAGCATCACAATTTGGCCCTAGACTGCTCTAGAACTGTATTGTTTTGTCTTTTGACTCGCCATTAGCAGTTGTAATTACAGATTTTTGCGACCCGTGTCCAGAATTTTGCGACCAAAGTTTGGTATGTCCAGGCTTTCGCGACCCAAGTCCAGTATTTCGCGACCAAATTTAGATATGTCTAGACTTTCGCGGCCCACGGTGCGACTCATGTCCAGACTTTCCAGACTCAAACTCTCGGCGCGACTATGCAATTTGGGTCTAAAACCGGATGCGGCGCGACCCTCAAAACCTGGACATAAGTCTGGGACCTCGACCTGGGAAGTGGAATCCGATTACAAATGAATGCAACAAGTTAATGTCAACAAGGCAATTTTGATGTGGAATCTGGGCTAGTAGAAATATCAAAAGGTCAGGCTGAGCCTTCGAATTTTTCTCAGTTGGATTCATAAGCATAGCACAACAAGAGCTCTAATTTGCTCTATTTTGAAAATCACGTCCCAAGTTCCAGGCGAACAAATTTTTCAAGTGTTAACCAAACAATTTTATTGGATTCCACAATCAGGAAATTTGATACAAAAACAAATCATCAAGGAAAAAGTCGCTAATGCCAATCCCGAAAAACTCGTGTTTTTACAGTAATCGAAGTCCCCTGAATGAAAAAGCGGTCGCGCCATAATTTAAAAAAGTCAATTTCGCAATTGAATTTAAAAAAACTTAGCGAAAACGATTATTGGTAGCAAAATGTGCAGATTTAACTTTGTAAATTTAAATAACAGCAGCTAAGCAAAAATCACACAACCGAAAAAAAAACTGTTTTCCCCGGAACACTTGTTTGGAAAAGTATCTAACCTAGAAAAGGGTTTGGTATTATAAAATTTAAAATTTTAAAATTTTAAAATTTATTTTACTATAGGTAACCAAGCCTTGAAACGGTAAAAACTAGCATGAAACGACCATGCCAAAAATACTTTACAAAAAGTCACAATCGCCTATGAAAACTTTGGCAAAAATCAGTTCATCCTCAACGTGTTTGTATGGAGGTCGGAAAACCAAATGACTGACCTAAAAAAAATTAACACCCTTTAAGGACGAATTCGACCGTTTTCAAATAACTAAATAAGATTGAATTAGTTTGTAAATGATACAACCCATTCGCAGTGTCAAGTCTTGCGTCTGTTTCGTTTCCTGGTAGTTATTGTCCGACAATGTCTGTCTTCTTTAACTTTGTTTGTCCCACTCATTGTGTTCATTATAAGACCTAAGTCATAATCAGAACCTGAAGGCTGTTTCATATCATTTACATTAAACACTCTTGTCAAATAGGGTTCAATTCCGCTTGATAACTTTAATCCTCAGTCAAAAAAAACTTTAAAAAAAATATTCATCAAACTTTTTTTGACAATTTT